TTATCCGTCTTCTTGCTTCAGGTGAATATGTAAGTAATTGTTGTACGCCTAAGTCCTAGTTCTGCAAAAATACTCCTACTTTAAATTCAGAAGTTTTTTGTTGTAATAATTTTTGACAAATGTGAAGATCGTCACTAAGAAATTCGACGTGGACAATTTATTTTGTGTAATGACTTATGGCACTTAGAAGGGCAAGAAATTGTACAACAGATATCTTGAGAAAATGAAATCGAAGAGGCATTATTTGTTAATGAGGTACTCTTGACTTAATTAGCCATAATAATTACATGTAGTGAATGAAGCACTTGGAAGATGAGGTAAAAGCTGTGCTGGCTATACAATTATTCCTGATAGTGTCATTGCTCAAATAACTACTGCATGGTATGATGCATTTGATTTCTGACTAAATCTTTTAAAATTCCGAAGTTCACTTTATCCTGATGTCAAAATTGCAGGCTATAATATGAATCACTACAGAATTTTGTTACCGCCAAGTTCACTGCGCGAAATGCAACGATCATTCACAAGTTCGACATTTCTTTTTCCAAGCTATAATGTTTGGGATGAAGACGAAGTAAGTGTATTTCTAAGATTTGCATTCTTTTTTTTTATTGGAAAGCTTCAAAAAGAGGAGAAATTAATCTGATAAAATGAAGAGAAGGGAAATATAGTGTCGTGTTGTTCTTGAAAGAGATAAGAATGCAAAAATGTCACCTATTTACATGAGTTTTAAAATAGGTGTCACTAATTTATATAGGGAAGTTGGCTAAGTTACAAATATTAAATGAAGTTTTAGAGCAATTGCAAAAATTAAAATGGATGGGACATTTCGGGGATTCGGCAAATTTGTTGATTTTTCTACCAATTTGTTGAGATTAAAATTAAACGAAGCTTTACTGGAAAAACTTTAAGATACATTGTTGAATGATTTGCTATAGATATTGGCAACAGTTAATGACAAAAATTACACACTAAAAAATGTGGAAGAGTTTTTCAACGATATTGACTACAGAATTGGCTGGTATCAATACCAGAACACAGCTCATTTACTCGCCGATTTTCAGGCACCGAATGTCGAGGTATAATTTAGTTCACAATTAATTGTACAAATGGACTATAGTTTCATCCTAATCAGAACATTTGGGATAAAATTGAAAAGCTCCACAACTCTCCTTTCAGTTGCATTGTATTTACGGATATGGCATTAATACACCAGAATCGTTTCATTGGTCCAATAGGTGGTTCCCGGATTATCAACCAGATACCATTTATGGTGATGGTGATGGGACTGTTAACCGACGTTCACTAGAAGCATGCAAAAAATGGATCGGTAGAAATGGTGGCAAGAAGGTATCAACTTCAGCACAAGCAAATCGAAATTTCTTCTTTTTTGAGCTTTCTTGAGTATTTTCAGTCTTTGAAAAATCTTTGAAGTCCATGAATTAGCATCATCATTTTCTTTACAGCTAAAAGTATTATCAGCAAAAAAAAGGGAAATCTCACCGAGTCATTTGTACAATTCAATTGTTACTCGGTTTATACCTCAATATCGCAAACATTACAAAATCTTCTACAGTACTCTTAAAACTGCTGTTTAGACCCCTTTGTTAATTTAAAATGACTCAAAACATTGACTCGAAAAATGTAACAGGACCTATATCAGGATGACGATAATCCATTGCAGATATCCCTGTATGCGATCAAAGATGGCGAACATGTGGATATTTTGGCACAGGAGAAAGTGCTTGATTTGATTAAAAAGATTGCATTTGTGCAGAGCTAATGGAAGGGATTCTTCTCAGTATTTCGACCTTGTTTAGTTAATGAAAAATGTTATTGTTACTTTAAAAAGCAATTTTTTACAAATACAGGAATATGTTCGTGTTTATCCTTCAGAACTTAACCCCCTTGTCTCTTGTCAAATCTGCAATACTTAATACTGGCGAAGAACCGCCAACTATTGAATCGTATTTCAATCTCGGAGCGTTTCAATGACAGCCCAAGAGGGCATTAGATAGTAGTAGAAAGGAGGTTAAATTTGATGAATATAAAATAGCACAGATTAGCTGTCCATATATAGATACCTCAAGTAAGCAGTCTTATTATACCACATACTCGGGAAGATCTCGACCATAATTAACAGGTCGCAATCAGGGTTACTTGTGGCTGCTTATTACTATAGCAGTCATGACTCACCATGAAGAGCACTTCTTAAAGCTTTTGATGGTATAGCAGACTGCTCTATAGATTCGAACCTTACATTCAAATTTACATTCACATTCGGCATTTAGTCGCAGAACCAGTAGAGCATAGAGCTTGGGTATGTTATGTTTGTCATGTGTTAAATGTATTTCAATTCAATTTACCCATTAATCACTAACCTGTCAAATAGATTACTATTTGTCTACAGGAGAATTTATATCTGTACTCCTTATTCAATCCTGGTTGTTGCTCACTTTCTGCTTCTTAGAATGCGTACAAGAATGGTTTTAAAACTACCTGCATTTGCTTATAAAAACCAAATTATTCTTTTGATACGTCGTTAGATCACCTCTTTTCTTATGAAATTAAGTTAAATCCATTTTTGAAAACTATTCTCAAATAAAATGAATGAGAGAAACGAAGCCAATTAGAAATTAACAATTAAAAAAGGAAACAAAGCAAACTGCTATTCACATTGTTCAACATAAAAACTTTCTTATTTGAAGACAGCTGAAAACAAAAACGGCACTTCAGAACTTGATTTGAGATCAAAAATATTCCAGAATACAATAGACTGTCAAAATAAGAGAATGATGAGCTTATACCAGGGCAGATCATTAGATTTTTTTTCTTCATAGTTGTTAATCTGTATTATCGTCAATTCGGAAATTTAACATTAATTACGGGAAAATTACCGAAGTTCCCGTTACATTGCAGTCTATTTTATCCGATCCAAGCTTTCTTTCCAATTAGCTGGAAAGTCTTCCTCATACTGATCAAAATTTGAAATACATTTTAAAAAATTGAGCCTTACAAAAATAACGAAATAGTTGCAAATATTTCAACAATTAGAATGACAAGCAAATAATTACAAGTCATAATAATTGCAGCACACTACTTAAATATTCAATACAGATTGGAACTGCCTCAGTATACGGGTTTGAAACGCATGCATCAAAAAGATGAGTATGTTCATTACTATCAAAACTACCATATTCGCTAATAAATTCTTCAACTTCGGGGAAACACTGCACGAACCACCAGAATAAAATTTCCGGATTCAGTGAATCAATTTTCAAATTGACCACATGAGAACATAATTCTGCCATCTGTAAACTGTCTTTTATGTTTAGGAAGACAAGAGTCGAAAGTGACGAAATTCACATAGACGTTTTTCCAAAAACCATATTTTATGCTTTAATTGCTAAAATTCTATTTAATGATAGCAACAATCTCAATGCTACTAATATACCTATATACTAAACAAAGTTATTTCACATTACCATTTCGAAATTGATTTTGCAAGTATTTAATATTTTTTTCTGAAAAACCCATGTAAAATACAAATGCATAACAAATGATAAAAAGTGTCGCAACACATGTCATGAGACAAAAAAAAAAAACCAAACTTTTTCTCTGATCGCCTCATTCTCGCTCTTCAAGAGCAGAACAATGATTTTACATAGTTGAACATCCAGATTACCTAACAATTAGAAGTTTGATATTATAAATTCTGAGGAAAAAGATTATGTCAGAAGTCAGAGTACACATAATAAAAACCTTTCTTCAAGAGCAATTCCAAAGCCCGAACAGCTATGGACTGAACTTTTTGATCATCGTTAGTGGCACTGCTATACAACCATTCAAAACGCCATTCATTATGATCCAGTTTTATAAGGAGCAGATTTGCCAAATGTCGGTTGCTCTGTCTATGATAAATTAAATTTTATCAAAATATGAACAAAACATCTTTCGAAACATACTACTTATATTCCACATGATGCTGCAAATGTGAAAATTTTTACATTACGATCATCTGTGAGAAATTTTAATACAATGCATCAAGCTCCCGTAGCTTTGAAATGAATGCATTGGGTATGCTTTCCAATTGAAATTCACACCGCCACATTAAATTCTAAAATATATCTAACCTTGTCATCATAATCAGCTCGTGAAGGAAATGCTTTAGAAAACACGCATCAAATAATTCTGCTAGATCTGCCGTTCCGCTATTCAGAAACAATGTTAAAATCTGCAATGCATCAAGCATATTCATTGTACGGTTTGAAAACAATTTTCCAAGGAGAAAGAATTTGAATATCGTAAATATTTACCGCTCTTACCTTCTCGCTTACTTTTCTATTTAGAGCAAACTTACATAACGTTGTACAAATGGCCCTGAATTTCGAATGTCTCGGACTGCTAACTGAATCATTTCACTTTCAATAAACTTTGCAGTAGTTGACTTCGATAGTGCTCGCCAGAATTCAAGGCGTAGAGTTCTATTGTTTATCAGCAGATTTTTGATTTCAAAGGGAATTTTGCCATCTAAAGTAATTCCTACTAATTATTGAGCCTAAGTTAATGCTTTCCTCAAACTGAAACAAATTGAAGTAATATAGAAATGTTCTGAAATAAAAGATAGTGCTCGCATATGCACATGAACTAGTGAAAAAAAAATTCATGCAACCTTCAAACATGTGCTAGGAAAAGCTAATTCAGCAGGATTAAATATTTCAGAAAATATGAAATATACACAAATTAGCTGTTTTATAATAAACATAACTTCGACTTCTTCAGCAATCCATTTCGCTAAAGGTCTGAAAACCAATATAGCATCTGACAAAATAAATTCTTCCACGGATGAAGCGATGAATTGATATCTGATTTTAAGAAGCAATGTTAAAAACAAAAACCTGTTGTAATCGCACCTGAAAAGAACTAGACTAATCATCTCAATATAAATTAAACACTAATGCCATATTTACAACCCAACTAGCTGCTAATTTTCAAAGTTTTCAAAATGAGATGACCAACAACACCTTCCAATAACAATTTTTATTCTTTGAAGCAAATGATTTCCAACTCTTTAAATTCAAGGCACTAGTGACTGAGATTGAAGTAGGTATCGAGATGAACTATGGATTGTATATGACTTTAAAGTGCATGAAATGAAGTTGGCTTGTATACTTGCAATATTAAGGTAATTTCGCTGCACGAAAACCAATACCATCTTTCGAAATGTTTCCCATTTTCGACTCTTCCGATAACCGATCGTATGCAGTTTTGTAATTCACATCCATCAAAAGCGACGGCGAGTTCTAGTAACTGTAATTTGATTTCTCTATAACATAAGTACCAATTTTCTAATAGGGAAATAAATTCTGATTTCTTAGTCGATAATCTAAAGAGACATGAATAGATAAAACTTATATTTCTTTCGTTTGTTTGATAATCTAATCAGTACTTAAAGAAAATACCATAAGTATAATTGCACAAATTTCATTTTGGGCACATGCAATAAGGTTAATCCTTGAAATCCATTTCAGTAGGAAACGAGCATCCTAAAACAGGCATATGTAAGATGGTATAAGAGGTTTAAGAACATATATATATATATATATATATATATATATATATATATATATATATATATATATATATATAG